GGGTTTCCTAGCAGTGCCACGCCGGCTGAACCTGACATAAAGTACAAAGAAGTCAAAAATAAAAGAAAAAAATTCAGTAAAGAAAAAGCATAGAAAAAGAAAAGTAACTTCTGACTTTCCTTGGTACAGGTATAAATGTAAAATACATTCACCTCTTACTCTAGAATCTAAAAATTTACATAGTAGAAAATAATTTTTAGTCTGATTTTATATATTTTTTTAATATTAGACTAAAAATTATTTTCTACTATGTAAATTTCATAGGATTTCAATCTATTTCAACAATACATATGATTTGTACAAGATATTTCTATAGGTTTAAAATGCATCAATCATCGAATCCCAAAATCAAAATTGCATTTTTTTATTTTTTATTTTTTTTTAGTATCAAGCAAAAAGTCCAAGAGTGGTTTCCAATTAGAAACAAAGCTAGATAATGCCCTTTCTTTGAGCAAAGTAGTCAATTTTGCCATTCCGCCAGTTCCATTAATTTCAATATACGTTATTCGGCTGTAGGTATTTGTAGGTCCTTCCATTTTGGTGCATATAAAAGTCTCGCTGCCATTATCATATAAAGAAATAGGTTTCCGTGTTGTCTTTCCATTTGTTTGTCCATTATACCTAAAGGAAGGTCTCTGGTTTCAGTTCAACTGAATGTCTGTTGGTAGTCTTGAAGTATCCAGGTGGAAAGCCATTAAATAGCTTCATAGGTCAAAACCAGCATATTAAATTGGACCTGGAAACCACTGCTACATTCTCACAATGCCAGGAGTCATAGAGTATGCTGGCTGCTGCATTTTGGAACTGTAGTCCCTGAGTAGTTTTGAAAGGGTAGCCCCAAGTATAGTACATTACAGTTGTCTAACTGGGTAGTGATGAGGGCAAGAGGTATTGTAGTCAGGTCCTCCCACCCCCAGTAGGGATACAGCTGACCCACAAGCCGAAGCTAGGACTAGAGTGTGAAAATGGTTTCCACTCTTCAAAACTTAGTGAAGTTTATACGTTATATAAAATGGCATTTAAACTCCAGAGTTTTTACTTCTTTATGAAAGGAATTAGAAAGTAAACGTGAATAGTTCTTATTACACTGTGAGATTCAACAGCTGTCACAGTAAGCATTTTGAAAAGACTAAAAAGAACTGATATTTTAAAGTTTATGAAAAAACCATGCAACAATTTAAAAACTAACATTAACTGAAATGAATGTTCCCTCTAATAGACAGCAGGAAATATAGTCTAAGAGCTTGTCACAAAAATGAAGAAAAATTACAATTGAATTCATCAGGAATGGAGAATGAATTTCCTGTGATTCTGCCTTAAAAGAACATTTTGATGAACTGTTTTTGATTAGTTTTATGTTGAATTATAGACATTAGAATTCTCATTTATCTGAAAAAGCTGTCAAATTCCCAATGCTTGTTATGAGAACATACTTCTTGACTTCAAAAACTAGTATAGAAATAGATTGAACACTGAGCTGGATTTGAGGATAAAGCTTTCTTCTTTTGTCTTGACATAAAGCTACTACGTGATGCAAAACAGCATCACCCTTCCCATTATTCCCTTCTTATTTAAATGTTATAAAGAGCATCCATAATAAATGTCTCATAAATTATAACTTTAAGTAAAATATGATTTTTTTTCACTTTTTTTAAATGTATATTTTTGGACTTCAGAAAAGTTACTAAAATAAAAAAAGTCCCAGTACCCAGTTATTTATGCTTCAAGAAACTCCGTCAAAAAGAAATTAAAGTCATGGCCAGATTGCAAATTGGCTGCTTTTTTCAATTGAAACCAATTAGTTACAGGACTTCTAGGGAAGAAATGGCAGACTATTTCACAGAGCCGACAACCACAGCAGAATGAAGAGCCAACGATTAGACCTCTCTTCAATACTTCCTCTCTGGACAAGGGAGGGACTTGAGATTGCCCACAGGTGCTCCAAACAATCACTCCTCATGAGGAGACCACAATACAGTAGTTTCTGGTGGGTTTAGAGCTCCTGGAGACAAGGGAATAGCCATTTTCCTCAAACCACAGTCGACGCCTTTGAAAGGACACTGGGTTTGCATACTTCCTTTTCTAATCACTTTCAGAAATTGCTTGTTAACTGCTTTTCATTTATTAGGGACCTTTGTATTGACATGTTTTATAGCACCAGGTGAGTTTCCTTCAATCCTTAGTGAAATAAGTTTTAAATACAAGTTTAAGGGATTTTAAAAAATGGAATAAACAGCAAAAAGGTGATTAAAACTTTGATTTTAGAAAGTTACAAATGGACTAAGGGTCCAGATAAATT